GAAGTGGCTTGGACGTTCCCAACAAGGTCTCTTTAGTAAAATTCTTAGACAATCATTATATGCTACATTAAGTCGCCGAAGGCTAGATTGTTTGTAGCAGGACCACAGGTGTGCCGTATATAACTGAGTACAGTATACTTTAAAGAGTATCTTTATCACTACATTAGAGCACACACTAAACCTATGAATTAGCATATTTGCCTGTGCGTACATGCTACGGCATTGTCGATCAATATCATCATCATCAGCCAAGTCATCACTGATGAATTGCCCCAGATATTTGTATTTGCCACTCACAACCAAGGTTTTACCACACAATGCGAACTGGGGAAACTGTAAACCTATATCTTCCTTTGTTCTGTGAGTCACAATGACAGTCTTATTAGGATTATAACTGATGTCATAATCCAGTCCATATTCCGAACAAATATCTATGAGTTGCTGTAGCCCCACACTACTAGGACTCAGAATGACAAGATCATCAGCATACAATAAATGATTGACTGGGGTTGAACCAATCATACAGCCAGTTCTGACATTATTCAACTTCACTGACAGTTCATCCATATACAGACTGAGGAGCACAAGAGAGAGAACCCCACCTTGCTTTACCCCATTGGTAGCACCAAGAGAAGCAGAGAAACTACCGCTCCACCTCACCTGCATGTCCTGATGAGCCTACCAGTAGGCTAGGATTCTAAGAATGTACTTTGGTACCCCTCGCTGATGCATTTTAATAACTAGCTTTAGATGGTTGACTCGATCAAATGCTTTAGACACATCAATAAAGCATAGTAGCACAGAGGAGTTACCTCTTTTAAACTTTCAGGTTATTTATTTTAAAGCAAATATGCACACAGTGGTGTGAAAAACTATTTGCCCCTTCCTGATTTCTTATTCTTTTGCATGTTTGTCACACAAAATGTTTCTGATAATCAAACACATTTAACCATTAGTTAAAGATAACACAAGTAAACACAAAATGCAGTTTTGAAATGATGGTTTTTATTATTTAGGGAGAGAACAAAATCCAAACCTACATTGCTCTGTGTGAAAAAGTAACTGCCCCCTGAACCTAATAACTGGCTGGACCTCCCTTAGCAGCAATAACTGCAATCAAGCATTTGCGATAACTTGTTACGAGTCTTTTACAGCGATCTGGAGGAATTTTGGCCCACTCATCTTTGCAGAATTGTTGTAATTCAGCTTTATTTCAGGGTTTTCTAGCATGAACCGCCTTTTTAAGGTCATGCCATAGCATCTCAATAGGATTCAGGTCAGGACTTTGACTAGGCCACTCCAAAGTCTTCTTTTTGTTGTTCTTCAGCCATTCAGAGGTGGATTTGCTGGTGTGTTTTGGGTCATTGTCCTGCTGCAGCACCCAAGATTGCTTCAGCTTTAGTTGACGAACAGATGGCCGGACATTCTCCTTCAGGATGTTTTGGTAGACAGTAGAATTCATGGTTCCATTTATCACAACAAGCCTTCCAGTTCCTGAAGCAACAAAACAACCCCAGACCATGTGCCAGGGTGAGTACTCCTCTCATTTTCTCATCTTTGAGTTGTGTGTTTCAGGAGAGGGAGGCTCCAGCTGCAGCTGATTTGCAATCAGCGGGTCTGGCTACAAAAGGAGGATGGAGAACATTCCTCGACGCCGGATGATTACTACAGCTTGGTAGTTTCCTGCCCTCCTGCGACGCTTGGATTTTGTGCTCTAGTGTTTCTAGGATTTTTTGTGAACCTTTGGATCTTTTCCCTGTGCTTACTCGTTTCCAGGTTTTTGAACATTTTTGGACCTCTGTGACTTCTCTGGATTACGTCTTTTGATTTCTGCGACTCCTCAGGATTACCCACCTGTGCCCCATAGGATTTCCGGATGCAGCTCTCACCGTTCTCCATTCCTCCCGGCCGGCCCGCTGTCTTGCTCTCCTGCTCTCTTCTCGCTCCCTCTCCTGGACACCCCACTTGGATTCACCCGGGCACTCAACCTACCCTCCCTCATTCCTACACTCCCCTACTCCCAGTAAGTCTATTCTCTGCACCCACCAAGTTTAGACTTACCTTCCTGGACTCACCTGTATCTGCTCTCCCCTCCTCAGAAACTGCGCTCCCGTTCTCGATCTCCAATGGGCTTTTCCAGTGCACCTTCAGTTCCCGTTTTAAAATAAAGATTCTTTTTTTTTTACCATAAGATCTGTGAGTGTGTGATTCTGCATGTCTTGGGTTAAACACATTCCCCAAACCATGTCAGAATCATCCAGCCAAACCGCTAACCCCACAGACACACCTCTCACTGATCTGCTCCACAGGTTGTCTCAACAAGAACAAGCCCTGCCGCTGCTAATGGAGCAGTTACACACAGCAAACAACCGATACCAGTAGTTGGAGGCCTTGGTGCGGCAGACACATGACAGGCTGTCCCAACCGCAGACTCAGGCCTCAGCTTCGGAACCTCCGCTGGCTGCCTCTGTTACTCCTGTTGTCCCCGGACTGGAAGCAGCAGTTCCCATGGAAGGCCCCCAACTTCCGTCCAGTCGCATCACCACCATCTCTGACCTTCAGCAGTGAGTTCGAGGACTGTTCCAGCTTCCTTTTACAATGTCGACTCGCATTCGAACGATCACCAGGAGCTTTCACCACAGACTCAATTAAGATCTCGTATATTGTTGGATTACTTCATGGAAAAGCCCTGAGATGGGCGGAAGCGAACAGTCACTGTTCCACGTTCCTATCTGGTCCCTTTGAAAACTTTTTAACTTATTTCAAGCTGACTTTTGGCAGTACTGAGTCCATCACGGATATCAGAAAACGGCTATGGAATTTATCGCATATAATTTTGTGCTCTAGTGTTTCTAGGATTTTTTGTGAACCTTTGGATCTTTTCCCTGTGCCTACCCGTTACCAGGTTTTGGAACGTCTTTGGATTTCTGCGACTCCTCAGGATGACTCACCTGTGCCTACTCCCAGTACGTCTATTCTCTGCACCCACCAAGTTTAGACTTACCTTCCTGGACTCACCTGTATCTGCTCTTGCCTCCTCAGAAGCTGCGCTCCCGTTCTCTATCTCCACCGGGCTTTTCCAGTGCACCTTCAGTTCCCGTTTTAAAATAGATTCTTTTTTTTACCGTAAGATCTGTGAGTGTGTGATTCTGCATATTTTGGGTTAAATGCATTCCCCAAACCATGTCAGATGTTTCTTAGCAAAATTGAGACGAGCCCTAATGTTCTTTTTGCTTAACAGTGGTTTGCGTCTTGGAAATCTGCCATGCAGGCCATTTTTGCCCATCTCTTTCTTATGGTGGAGTCGTGAACACTGACCCTAATTGAGGCAAGTGAGGCCTGCAGTTCTTTAGAAGTTGTCCTGGGGTCTTTTGTGACCTCTCGGATGAGTTGTCTCTGCGCTCTTGGGGTAATTTTGGTCGGCCGCCCACTCCTGGGAAGGTTCACCACTGTTCCATGTTGTTGCCATTTGTGGATAATGGCTCTCACTGTGGTTCGTTGGAGTCCCAAAGCTTTAGAAATGGCTTTATAACCTTTACCAGACTGATGGATCTCAATTACTTTTGTTCTCATTTGTTCTTGAATTTCTTTAGATCTTGGCATGATGTCTAGCTTTTGAGGTGCTTTTGGTCTACTTCTCTGTGTCAGGCAGCTCATATTTAAGTGATTTCTTGATTGAAACAGGTGTGGCAGTAATCAGGATTGGGGGTGGCTACAGAAATTGAACTCAGGTGTGAAACACCACAGTTGAATTATTTTTTAACAAGGGGGGCAATTACTTTTTCACACAGGGCAATGTAGGTTTGGATTTTATTCTCTCCCTAATTAATAAAAACCATCATTTGAAAACTGCATTTTGTGTTCACTTGTGTTACCTTTGACTAATGGTTAAATGTGTTTGATCAGAAACATTTAGTGTGACAAACACGCAAAAGAATAAGAAATCAGGAAGGGGGCAAATAGTTTTTCACACCACTGTATATACGTGCTGTGTTTTGGTTTAAACCCAAATTGGTTATCGGTAAAATAGGTGAAATCTTTTAGTCTACAGAGCAATACTTTTCCCAGAACCTTAGACACAATGCTTCCCAGAGGAATGGGCCTGTTTTATCCATGCTTCCTACTCTGCTTTTTCCTTTATAACTGGGACTCAGATGACAGACATAAGTGCTCTGACTAAATGAAAGTCTAAATGTTTTTGAGGGGATCGAAACATTTTCCGTCTGTAAAATAGAAAATGACACAAAATGCAGGGGCATGTCCAGGGAGTGGCCTGGGGTAGCAAATGCCACCCTTGGAATCTGATTAGCCACCCCAGGTGTTACCACACTGAATTCCCTTTAAATAGGCTTTTCATTGTCTACAAAAGGCTTGGGGTAAAAAAAATAAATTTAAAGCATAACCATTAGTGCCACCCATGCACAAAGCAGTGCCTCACTTGGGCCATCCCATTTTAAAAGATCTGGACACGCCGTTGACCAAATGTGAGAGGAAGAATAACATTTAGAAAGATATAGGACATCAGAAGAATTAGATGGAGAAACACAAAAACGGTCCAGTTTTTGGTAAATGGATTGAAAATCAACATGTGTCACTTTCACCCACTTTTCATAACCGATGTCTTTAGTTAAAAAGTGAAAACATTAAACTACACACACACACACACACACACACACACACACACACACACACACACACACAGCCAATCAACAAAAGATAACGACACAAACGATCTGGCTGAACAAAGAAAATTCCGGTAGAAACACGTAAAACGTGATAAACCAGAAGTTTAAATGCCAGATCCTGCTGTCAGAACGCGGATGGTCAGAGGTGAAAAAAGATTAAATTAACAAAAAAGGAAAAGAGAAAAAAAGTCAATTAATTCTCCTTTAGTCTTTTAAAATAAAAGTTTATCTTTTTCCATCACACACGCGTCACATCGATCCATGAAATCTTGAATCAAAGCTTTGGCTGTGACAGCTTTCAGTGATGTCTTACTTTTGATGCATGTATGGACCCGCACTCCTTGTTTATAAATGCCATATTTTTAGGTCTATCACGTGGGAGGTGCAAAGTGTTTAAAAGCCTGTGTGTGATTCATGTGTGAGCAACAAGCTGCAAATCCGGATGAAGATGGTCACTCTCCAGGCTCTTGGACTGGGTGAGTCAGGGGATTTTAATCAAAAACAGAAACACTAGAAACCTTTTAATAGTGATTGCTTCTATTGTTTCAGCTTGGCTGATGTGTGGTCTAGTCATCCTTTACGGTAAGTTCACTTATGATTAATTTGGATGATTGATTATTTCATTAATAATGAATTAGGCTCATTTGACAATGGTATTTTCTTGTTCCAAGCTCTTGAGGAAAACTTTTCGCAATTTGAAATCTATAATAAAAAAGTTGCAACTATTATTTAGTTTCATGCATATTTCCACAAACATTATGACCATGTATTTGCCACCGTGACTTCTCTTGGTACATGAACCTGAGGAGGTTCTCGGGTGTCAGGAGGAAAAAGTAGGATGTGAGGGATTGGGGGGTGGGGTCTTGTGAGGTTCTGTCACCGTATCAGAATGTATACGTCGTGCGCCTCTCTTGTAATGCAGGGAGCTTCTCTCTTCATGAGGGTCTAAATGACACTATTAAATGTCAGAGAGCAGGTTTTCCACAGCGGAACTTCACTTTAATACGGGAGAATGGGTGGATTTACGCTCCTGACCCCGCAGCAGGCATGCACCATGTCTCTGACTCCCGCCATGATGCTAATGATGTGAGAAACTCTGATGCGGTCAGTATACCCCACGCTTTATTTTGATTGTGTGCGTGTGCGCACGTGCGCTCCGGATGTTTGGGTGTGTGCGTGTTCACTGGCGGCGCTTTATTTTGACTTGACAACAATCTAACTGAGCAATAGAACTGGAAGTTGGAAGAAGGAGTCGTGAATGTTTGTCTGGAGCAGGCTGCTGGAGACAAGATGCATCTTGCTGATCCTTTGAGATAAATAAAATCTAAACTAGAATTTTTGAACTCGTTCCAAAGAAATGCTGACTTCATTCACCAAAACATAAATCAGGACATTCCTGCAGCCCCGCCCCGAATTTCATGCATGATTACTCAGCTGGGTGAATCAGTGAGAATGTTGTTGGTTTTGGATTGTAAACAGAAATATCACAACCGGAAAAATGAAAAATATAAATAAATAAAAAATAACAAACCTTTTGATCGTCTCTGGACGTGGATTGACAACATTATTATTCTCTCTTGCTTCTGTAATTGAGTGTTTTTTTAATAAGCACAATTGAAGTTTGAAGAGCCGCTGTGACGTTTTATTTATTTATTTATAATTGCAAATATATTTCAGTTAATTCTCCTCTTGATCAGCTTGATGCTGTATGTTTTGTTTTTGTTCCGGTGGATGGTGAGTAGTACAGTACTGGTCTGTGCATGTCGGTTACGTAAATATCTGGCGTCTGTGTTGCTCAATGTGCCCCATGCACTCTTAAGAAAGAGGAATTGTGAATATGAAAAAACAAAAAACATTGTCCAGACTCTAGTTTATTATGGAAGGCAATTTGGCAAATTTGCATCTAAAATACTTGCCACGTGATCAGAATAACTTGGATCTTACATTTTCTTCCAGAGACCAGAGTTGATGGACAATCTCAAAATAACAAGTAAGTTCTTGTTTCTTCTAACCACTGATGCATGCTGCCAGGAGCTCTCCCTCTTTTCTGAAGCTTGGGTGTATGCTTTTATTGTTGTGTGTGTGTGTGTTCAGCAAATATTTAACAATATGGCCAAGTTTTCTTACATTTGGCAGTAGATTCAGCAGCCAGCTATTTATAGCTACTTCAGCCCTGCAGATTCCTTTGAAAATGTGACAGATCAAGTGATAATGGGAAGACAAATGTTGTCCAGCTGCAGATGTGACTCCCATTCTACTGTAGAGACCAATTATTTGTCCTTGAGACTGAAAGAAAACAACTCTGTGTTGATGTTAAAGAATGATACAAGCTTCAAGCCTTTGAAGTGTAGATCTCAGAAACTCTTATACAAAGGGAGTAGATAAATGATCTGTTTTGTGTAAACTTCAACTGAGTTTGTCAGTAATGTTGTGGTAATGCGGTACTCACTGTGATCCCAAACAGCACTGTGACTACCACTGGAATGGTCCATTTTAAAGGTTGAATATGGAACAATTTAATAAACGCTATATTTAAAAAAATAATACCTCCACGGGGCATTTAGAGGTGTGCAGAATGAAGGTACAGTATTTCCTTTAAAAGCTATATTTTAATTAAAATAAATCAAATATTAATTTTGATGGGCGCAACACTTATGTTTACATACCAGCCAGTAAATGATTTCCTGATGCTGCTGGGAAATGTTTAAATTTTTAGAAAAAAACTCAATTCTTTTATGTAAATATCACAAAGACTTGCAGCTCAGCTTGGAATACTAAATACTTCATTTAGTGTGAAATAAAGCAATCACTATGTTTTTTGACTCACAAGTTGAGAATTTTTTAGTCTAAAGTCTAAAACTTTTGCACGTTTCTGTTAAAGAAAACCCCAAAATCAACTCTGTTCGTAGAGGTTTCCTACTGCTAAAGTCCATCAGAGGGCAGTAAAACAAAAGGCAGAACTGCTTACTGCTTTAAAAAGGAAGCAAGTTTCTGTGCTTCCTTATTTTCACATTTTCTGAAATGTATCAGGCTCACGATTTACGATTCTCACCTTTGTTTTTCTGTCAATCCTGTAGTGTCCCATCTGAGGCCCAATGTGGTGGAAAATCTTACAAACCTGATAAAGAAACTTGTTGTGGAGAAAAGAATTTAACAGGTGACACTTCTCCTCTGTAAACACTGTAGCTGCAACACATGGCTGATATCAAGATTTATCCAGCTGTAATTTATTCTATATTCTACTGTTAAACCACCAAAAACACATTCTCAATGGACCAGTGGTATGAGTGTCTACACTAGGACTGGGAGATCAGGGTTCAAATCCTGTTGGGTCATACCAAAGACTTTAAAAACGGGACCCGATGCCTCCCTGCATGACACTCAGGGGTTGGATTAAACCTCCAACTAGTTCCTGAGCGCAGCCACTGCTGCAGCTCACAGCTCCCCATTGCAATCAGTCATATGCAGATATGTAATTTCACCAGTGTGTGATGATGACAGATCTGTCGTCAGAGTTCACAATCCTACATGTTCCAACACTTCTGAAACAGTTTTTAAGTCTGTTACCTCGAGCAACAACCAACATGTTTCAGGCTTCCACGTTCTTCAGTCAAACCTGTGTTGAACTTTTAGATTTCCATTCACCTTTGTCTCTCTGCAGAAACTCCTTTCACTTCCTGTTGTTACACAATTGCATTTGCTGACTAAACTTTGTCTCATTGCTACTGTTACAGAAGGTCTGAGTGAAAGCATGTCTCAATGCTGTGGGTTGGAGGCGTACAACCCCCTTAATCAAATCTGCTGTAAACAAATACTGCACATCAAACATTCACCGTTTGCCAAGTGTTGTGGACAAGGTAAGATAATCCATAAATGACAAAAAAAAGGGAAAACATATTTTTACAACATCATTCTTCAGGCACTCGAGGAGTACAGATGCTTCCCTCTTTCGCTCCCTTATCTTTTTTCCCATGGCTCTTTGTCCTGTCTGCCCACAGAGCGCTTCTCTGCATTTCTTCTGAAAAACAATTTTTACTAACCATGGATTTGATAAACTGGTCATTCAATGCGATTGATAAGATTTTTTTCAACAATGAGAGTGGAGCAGGGGGCTCTATGGGCTTAAATAAGGGCCATAATGTTTGTGTAGTTAAAAGAAAAATTTGAAATCGAAAATATGTAAACTGAAAGCAAAAGTCACATTTTTAGAGTGAACTTTGAAAAAGAAAGCCTTGGATTTAAAAAAAAATCAAACGTTTGGAATATTTGTAAGAACTTAAACCCCAATGGTATTTTTATTTTGAACTTTTCTGAGTAAATTTTACTAAAAAAAATTGTCAGTAATTTATTTTTCAATTATTATTATTTTTTAAATCCAGTCAGTCTCAGATTACATTTTTTCACATTCAGATCTTTTTAATTAATGTACAAAAAATTTCTTCAGGTTCAGATTTTTCTTTCAGCTTCAGATTTATTTTTTTCACTTTCGGATCTGTATTTTTCAGTTACAGACTTCTGGCCCTGTTTTGGCCTGGTGGGCGTGGCTACACAGAGAGGGGCGGGGAATCATGAGTGACAGCATGCCGCTAGAGGCTGAAGACGGTCCATTTTTCATGTTACCTTCAGAAAACCTGGGAATAAACAAAATTTATCAAACACCTCCTGCACTGTATTATTTGATAATGGTTGGAGAACATGTCATGCATAACTCATAAACTCAGTTACTAAACCTCTTTCAGTCAGTAATGTGTACAAATTACGCCGTGACTGATCAATTATGAGAAGTTTTCCCAACCACTATGTGAGAAGTGGTCATTTCCCATGCTCTCAAAGTAGCGTGCGTGGGTGCTGCTGTTGTGCCTCAGTGAACAATGGCGTCGTCTTCCGACAACACTGCTGGTGCGAACAATCAGGTGAGTGTTTAAGTTTGGAAAAGTTACACTGCAGTCTGTGAATACTAAGGATTTACGAAGTGGCTATTGTTATGGTTTAAAGTAAGATTAATTTTAAGCTATTGTGTTTTTTTATTTAATTTTTTTGGTGAAATGCTACAATAACTCAACAGAAACGCTTCGCTATCATTTTCGGCTGAAACTTACGTCCAAGTTGATCTGTAAGCATGGAGAACAACAAAGTTAGTGAAGTAACGTCAAATTCTTTCTATCTAATTTAGGAGCAGCTAAAAAGAGAGATGCTTCAGCGACTACTGCAAAAAGTTTCCCAGGTCATGCACAGACAACCCCTCGATGTGGACTATTTGCAGTTTGTTATTGACCATGAGCTAGTCCTTTTAAGATCTTTGTCCGATCAGGTTGAGATCCCTCAAAGTATTATGAATGCTTTGATAGAGCTGTCAACTGTGCTCAGTATGGAGGACGTCAATGAACAAACCCCCTCTCAGATGTCAGTGTCAGAAGGAAAACTGGGACGGCCAAATTACAATGTATCTCCTGTACAGCTCCAGACACTGACAGAAATGTTCTTATCAATACCCCAAATTGCAAAACTTCTTGGAATATCTGTGAGGACAGTGAAACGTCGTATGCATGAATATGGCATTTCCATAAAGCAGTGCTACAGTAGAACAAGTGATGAAGAGCTGGACAATTTAGTAAGATCTATAAAGACAAGAACACCTCATGTTGGATACAGGATGATGAAAGGGTTGCTTCAAGCCATGGGCCACCATGTACAGTGGAAGAGAGTGTACTCGTCGATGCACCGTGTGGACTCTGCTGGTATTTTCTCAAGAATGACAAGGCTGGGATTTGTGGCCCGAAGGACATATTCAGTGCAAGGTCCTCTTTACTTGATGCATATAGACACAAATCATAAACTAATAAGGTAGGATGATGCTGGTTTATGATCTAATAATGTCTGACAATACTGCTATATACTGAATTATATTATGTTTTATACATGTTAATACCCTAGTTGTTGTTTTTTGTTGTTCTTCTTACAGATTTGGCCTGGTGATATTCGGAGGGATAGATGGGTACTCAAGAAAGGTTATTTTTCTCTTTCAAAATTGAGCTGAATGAGATGTTAATTGAAATGTGAAATACTGGTGTTTTGGTCTACCATAAAACTTACCATATACTGTAATATAGAGATCCTTCTGTATAACAAAATTGTCCTAATATGTTTAGGTTTGTCAGTATTTGGTGACTATAAATGCTTGATAAAGTAATTCTTCAAGTTGCTAAATAGATTTTTTTTACCCTTTGCATTTGGGTGAATGGTTGATTACAACTACTGCTTCATCTCAAGGCAGCTTGCTACCTTGGGAATTATGTAGCTTGCTTTTTTTCTTGTCCTTATAAATGTAAGATAAATGTACCAAGCTACAAAACCTGATAAACATGTTTCTATCTTTAATTATAGTAACTTGACTTGACAAAGTTTCCACTTAATGAAATTTACATCTCTAGATCATGTACCTGGGTGCTGCTGCTAACAACAGAGCAACAACTGCACTTGCTTTCTTCTTGGAGGCTGTACAAAAGTATGGCTTTCCATTGAGGTAAAATCTACACAAAATTAATTTTCACAATGATTGTACTGATCTGTAAATATGATTTTTCCCTTGATTAGCAGTGTAATTATTTTGGCATGCAATATGTAAACTATACATGATCAATTGTTTAGAAATCCCCATACTCTTGTTTAAATGGTTCAGACATTTAGAATTCTTGAAAGGTGTGTTTCATACAGAGCTGCACACTGTTGAAAAACCAAAACAATAAACTTCTAATAACCAGTCTAAAGTAAAATTATATTAAAAACACAAAGGCTGCAATAAATTTTAAGAGTGACATTTTTTTTTTAGATTTCAAAAAATTGTACTGTCAATGTTTAATTTTGTTTCAGAGTTCGAGGGGATCAAGGGGTGGAAAATGTTGGAATAGCAAGATGCATGTTCACTATCCGGGGCTGTGGAAGAGGAAGTTTTCTGTCAGGCAAGAGTGTTCACAACCAAAGGTATGTGTAGTATTTTTATAAATGTCCCATGGAAATAATAAGAAAAAATTTCATATATATTTTTCAATTCAGTGAATTTTTGTGTACAATTTTGAAAACGTTGGCATATTTTCATGTTGAACAGAATAGAGCGCTTGTGGCGAGATGTGTGGATGGCTGTTTCAAGCGTGCACTATGAAACCCTTCACAACCTCGAGGATGAAGGCCTTCTGGATCCATCTGATAGTGTCCACATGTTTTGTGCCCAACATACATTTCTTCCACGTCTGCAGAGGGATCTGGATGTCTTTAGACAGGGTTGGGATAACCACCCTCTAAGGACAGAGAGCAATCTGTCCCCACAACAACTGTGGACACTGGGACTCCACCAGAATCCAGTTGATGCTCCAGACACAGTGGAGGTACTAAAACAAATCTAAATTATACAACCACTCTTTAATCATGTTTCAAAAAGTGCACTTGGAGATGTTGAAACAAACACGATGTGCTATCACAGCAGACTGTCAGCTTTAAGTTGAGGGTATTTGCATCCAAATCAGTTAAAAGTTGTAGGCGTTACAACAGTCTGCATGTGTGCCCCCCACTTGTTAAGTTACCAAAAGTAACGAGACAGAACATTAATCATTACTGAAACTGGAACGCAGAGACATCAGATGTTGGGCTTCATCCCTGCTGATGCTCTGTCAGGCCTCTACTGCAACAGTCTTAAATTCCAGCTATTATTGAGGCATTTCCCCTTCAGTTTTGTCTTCAGCAATGAAATGCTGCTCAGTCAGATTCAGGTCAAGTGATTGACTTGGCCACTGCATAACACTCCACTTCTGTCCTTTAAGAACTATTTGGTTTCTTCTGCAGAATGCTTTGAGTGATTGTCCATCTGAACCGTCAAGTGCTGCTTAATGAGTTTTGAAGCATTTGGCTGAATATGAGAAGATATATTGCCCAAAACACTTCAAAATTTATCCTGCTGTTTTTGTCAGGAGTTGCTTAACTAAATACAAGAACATCACATCCCTGGCCATGGAACATCAGAGAAGCCAATTGTCCCATTACTTTTGGTCCCTTAAGTGGAAGGCACATATGAAAACAGTTCAAATACCTCTGCAGTTATAGCCAATCGTGTAGTTTCCTTTCAAATCCATTGTGTTGTTGTAAAGAGCCAAAAATAGAATTGCCATGTTCCAATATTTATGGAGCTGTTTGTCTTGAATTTCCCAACACTTGTTTTTGGATTGTCATTTGAAATATCAGATTTTTTTAAATCATCACAGGAAATCGAGGATGCGTACTTGGATGTCAACTCTATTGGTGAGCTGGATAGTAGCAATCCTGGAGTGATTCTTCCATCTGTTGAATGTCCTCTATCTGAGGAGGACATGGCAAGACTAAGAGACACTATCAATGTAACAAGGCCCTCTCAGTCACATGGTCGAGACATTTATTTGGATGTACTTAACTTTGTACTAACTCACTGTTCCTAGATGGAACCATTTTTATTTTGACTTTTCAACCCAGAGAAGGTTCATGAATTGCTCAGACTTTTATTTGATGTAAAATGAACCTGCCAGGATATTTTTATGTGAACACTCAAACATCACATTACAAACTATTTTTTTCCCTCTGGCATATTTTTCAACTGTAAAACTGTACGTTTTTGGTGTGCTTCATGCAACTCATTAAAGAACTCTGGCTGTCAATCTCCAACTTTGAAATGTGCTTCCTGAACATTAAATAGAAGGAGCAGCATTTTGATTTACACTTCAACACTATTGCTTTACACATTGTTAAATTCCTGGCCAAGATGAAAAGCCTCCAGCAGAACCATTCTGAATTGACTATAGGACTTCATGTGTTTCACAGGCAGGACAATGGTCTT